CAAAATAAAATAATAGTAAGTAAAAACACAATTGTAAAAGAAAATAAAAATGACATGATTTTTTATGAAAACCCCTCCAGTGTATAGGAAAAAATCACATGTCAAACTCTGAGTCAAATTGATTATATCTGAAAATAATTATAAGGTAATCCATCGAGAATAAAACTAAGAGAAGAAAAAGATAAAACCTTTTTCCCTTCCTGTGCATGTGAAGAGAGAGGGAACCAAAAGAAAAAAATTGTCTCTTTCTTTTCTTCTTTTTAGAGGCAGCCTCGTTTGAGAGTGTGTGAAAAAATAAAAAAAAACCCAACTCTTTTTTTTTCTCTCTATTTCGACAACTTTTCCTTCTTTGTTTTCACTATCTATTTCTTTACACAACTTTCTCTCTCAGTTTTCACACGACAACCCTTTTTCTCTTGCTTCTTCATAATTTTGATCTTTTTCCTTTTATATGTGAGTGAAGCTATTTGGATCGGCTTCTCTTCACTAAAAATCCTCCAAGTATCGCATGTTCTTATCTATTCCCTACATTGAAATCCTGTGGCATTATCTTCATCCCCACACTGAAAATTCTTCAGAAAACTTAAGCTTATCTTCTCCATGAGCTATGTACGTCTCCTTTTTTTTTCTTTATCTTTATCTTTATCTTCCTTTTAACAGACTAGAATCAACATAATCCCTTTAATGATGGTACCCACGATTCATTTTAGATTTGGGTCATATTTCCATTCCCCACCATAGGCTCTTTTTTTTAGTGAGGACTCTTATTTTAAGCTGGCCATTCTAAAAGAGGAAACATTTTTTTTTCTATATGAGGAATTCAAATGTGCTTAAACATTTGGAACAAATTAGCCTAGTCAAGGGCTTGTTTACTTCTTCAAGCAATTGTCAAGCAAATTTTCTTGCTAAGGCAATATTTAAGTCTTGGAGATTCTGAAAGGCCAACAATTTCTCTCTAGGCAAATATAATTTAGATCTTAGGGCAAATCCTCTCCTCAAGCTTTCTTTAAAATTCCATTAAAATTTTCTAAGTTTGTTTAGATCCTCACATGATTTTTAAGGGATCACAAATGTTGACTTAGTATATGTTGGGAGATAGTTTACAACATATTTTTATTAAGACTGCCATTCAAATGTGAGATAAAAGTTTTACTTTCCATCTTGCTAATTTGGTCTTGAATTTTCCATATGCTCCTTGAAGCTTTTGTTAGTAGTCCTTCCCAAAACTAATGTAAGTTTCAAATATTTTAATTTTTCTATTATAGCTTTTGGACCTGCAAGATTTCTCAACTTAGTATGCTTATTTCCTATTATATTGTCGTTGAATAATATTGATAACTTTTCTTTACTAAATTTTTGTTTGGACCATTAACTATAGAGCTCTAAATAGTCAAAGAAAAATTCGATTATTTTTTTTTTACTTGAAAAAAATAAATAAGTCACTAGCAAGTTAAAAATGATTGGTAGAAGGAACATTTTGGCCATTTTGATCCCATGAATAAGGCCATCATTTTAAGCTTTATTGGCAATCTCGATAATGTATGAGTATAGGGAATAAATCAATATGAGGATAGAAGATCTCCTTATCTTATATTGCATTATGAATTTTCTCTTTTAGAAGTAAATTTATCGATAAAAAATTGAATGGATATTATAGAGATCACAATTAAAATCTATGGATTTTCTGAATGTTTTTTTCCTATAATATCTCAATTTTATCATAGCTAAATTTTATTTTTTTTAATTATTATTTTTTATCTTTTAAAAAATTATATTTATTATTATTATTCGAGTTAAAAAAAGAGAGAAAATGAAGAAAATAGACCCCAAAAAAAAAACAAATAAAAGAGAAGGAAATTAAAGAAAAAATGAAAAGAATAAAAAAGAGAAATTTTGTCTTCTAAATTAATTCACCCGAACCTACTTTTTCCTCCTTTTTTTACTACTTATTGAAACCCATTAAAGTTCATTGTTTGTATACATATAAAAATTTTGGAGATCAATATTAATTTGAATTCTTTAAAACCAATATTTTCGACATTACAAATCATCCTTTGTTAACAATGTCTTTAAATAAAAAAAATGCAAAAAGAAAATCTAGATGACTACTACTAAATCATGTGCCTAACTAAATTCCGGCCCACCACGATGATTGATCAAAAACTCATCTCCACCGTTGGATACGCCAAAAATTGAGCTTTGACCAACAAACTGTTGCTGCGCTGCCTGCAGCTCCTTTTGCCTCCTCAGCTCCATCACCCTCCTATGCGAGTTTGAATGCTTGGTCGACACAAACGTGGGGCTTGCAGCGGGTCGGTACTCGGGTACTAAACGACCCGACTTGTACCGCACTCCGCACGCATTGCATAGTGTCTTCGGACCCATCGGCCCGGTTCGCCACTGAGGGGTCGACTCCGCCGCGCAATGTAGGCATTTCCGCGCCGGCGTATCCGGGTTCGGCCTTTCCCTGTTCTTAATCGGCGTCGTTTTGGAGTGGAGGATGAGAAGACGTGTGGACCAGTCGCACGGGGCAACCCGGGACCGCTTGGATCGGGTCTTTCCCGGCAGAGGTGTCTCCGGACTGAAACTTGTGCAGTTGAAGGAGGAAGAAGACGAATCAGGTGTCGGAGGCTTGGAACCAGATAAAATATGAAGATTGTTCAGATTTTGCTCCGTTGAGAACGAGTCTTCAATGAAATTTGAGAACCATTCAAGCTCCGCCATTTCATCATCCTGTTAGATTGCAATAATTTCATAATTTTATTATGAATTTTGATTTCTAACACCGATATCTCGAATTCATTTATATAAAATTATATTAATTACCGGAACGCAGACTAGGGCGGCGGAGAAATGGGAGTCATCGCCGACGCTGCGGTGGCCGAAGCTTGAGGAGTGATCATCGGCGGTAACGGAGAAGGAGGAATCGGAGATGTCAACGGCGGAGACAGTGGAGGTGACGGTTGAATTGCCAGTGACATTGTCGAAGAAGCCGTCAGTTAGTATCATATCATTAGAAAAATCGAGAAGGTCATCAATGGTGAAATTCTCGCAGTTTTTTTGATCGGGAACCCTGTTCTCCGACGAGAATCCCCGGGTTGCTGCTCCGTAGTAGCCGCCGGCCAAGAATCCGGGTGCCTCCATGTACAGAAAATAAGGTAGAGACTTGCTTTGATAACGTAACAGAGTGTTTGGTTGTAGAGAGAGAAAATTGCAGAGAATCAATGGAGATGGAGAGTGAGTGAGAGAGAAGGAAAGGGAAAGGTTGGGTTATGAGGAGGAAAGGCAGGGGTTAAATTGTAAATAAGGGAAGTTAGAGGCATCGTTTTAATATCAGGAAAGTAAGTAACTTAGCAAGTAATCAAATTAATAAAAAAAATGGAAGTGTTTTTATGATTTTTTTTTAATTAAAAAAATTGGAGAACATATTTTCAATTTATTTTATTTTATTTTAAATCAACTTGGTTTTGTGAAGTAAATGAGTTGGCAATTATGTTGTTTTGACCCTAAAGTGGAAGAAATTAGGCAATTAAATTTTGGCCCTTTTAAAGCTGTGAATTACAAGCTTTTGATTAAAAAATTAAAATCAATTTAATTTAAAAAAATAGCTCTTCACTTTATAAAATTTTTGTTTTGATTCTTAATTTTTGTTTGAGTTCAAAATTTTTGAATTTGTACTAAACAAAAATAATTAATATATTTAAAAATATGAAACTTTTAATAAATTAAAATTTATGCAATTCTTTTACCATTTTAGAGATAAAAGTATGTATATAAACATTTAATTTCAAAAAATAAAAAATAGTAGTACAAATTAATATGCACAAAATACATAGTCAATTTGAAACAAAAAAAGCAAACCAAAATAAAATTATTGGTTTTCTTCGACTTTGTTAAAAATTTTTAAAAGTCAACACTATAATAAAAAAATAATTAGTAATAGTCAGAAACCGTTATTATGATATCGTATTTTATTAGTATACCCCACTGAAAACTATACATATAATTTCTTATTTTATTAGATTTATATGATTTATATTAATGATAAAAATGATTATGAGGATAGCTTTTTGGGTGTATAGGTAGGAAAACTTGGTATTAGTATAATTCATGACTTGTACTGTAAAGGCCCGGAACCTTAAAGGAAATGAATTTATAATTTAAATACGGAAGCGAATAATAGAGTTAGGGTTTACATTCCTTAAACAATAATTTAGAATACTCAATAGAGATACAGAAATGTCCATTCTAAAAGTCAAACAGTAATTTAAAAAAATAAATAAATAAGCATTGTAGGATAACTTTCATTGGCAGTTGAAGGGAGTTCAGATGGTGAATTACTCACAACTCTCTTGTTGATCGGGATCTGGATCCTGTTCTTCTTGATATAAAATTATTAATAAAATGGTGAGCTACACTAACCTAGTAAGAATATAACACTAATCACATATACGAAAAATTGAAGATTGATAAAAATCAGAAAAACAACTAATAGACCCCTTACTTTAATTAAATACATCTAACATAAAGACATTTGTTTGATACACACCGTTACGAGTTTTTCAAAAACAACCTATAAAGACTCATATCTATACCACTTTTTATTGTCACATATAAGGGAATAAGTGACATCAATTTTCCTTTTTTACTTGCTTACTGGTACCCTAGGGGGTCCATAGGAATGTTCCTCTACTCATGAACTCAATATTTAATTTTAACAATTAACTGGTCATCCCCTTACCCCGCTTAGTAATTGGAACCAAACATTCCATCACTTCGATACCCTGTTCCATATGAGGGTGAACTATATCTCCCAAACATTTTCAGTATGGGACTTTCCAGCCCTATCTGATTAAGGTGACGTTCACAGTAGGGTTCCCTATGTACCAGGCTCATCCGCCCTTTTCCTAGGTACCTAGTAAGTCTTTCACATAAAGATTTTAATCAAGCAAAACAACCAACAAATGCAAACAAATATCTCATATTATATTTACAGATCAATTAGACGATATTTATGCGAACGATATAACTTATCATAACAAGGGATCGAGTAACCAGATAATTGAATAAACTAGATAAATCGATAAAACAATTGAAATTATAAATTAAAAACATGCACAATATGATAACAAGCAAGTAGGACAATACAAGAAAAATAAATAGGATATAAAAACAATTGTGAACTAACCGATCCGGCTCTACTAGTGACTTGTAATTATTTTAAAGATTTTTTAATTTTTCACAAAAACACAGAATTAGACATCGTTAAGCTTCAATTTACCATAAGGAAGAATAGGGTGAGGAATCCTCACCTGGATCAGTGTTTCGAGATGTCGCACTATCTACCATGCCTCCTAACGGGTACCGGCCTTCCTAAATTTTTTCTCCAGAATCCAAAATATTCGTCACGTACCTAAAAATACCTCAAAAATCTAAAATCGGTACCCAAAACTCTTTCCAACCAATTTTAGGGTTCCAACATGGTGGTAGCAGTTTGCCTCGACCTGGCCGATTTTGGTTAGTTTTAACAAGTTTTGGCCAGTTTTATACGTATCCCTATGGAAAAATACGTTAGGAGGCATCGGTTGGCCAAAAAATCACAGAAAATTCTAACCTACCAATGGGGGGGGGTCTCTAGGTGCAGTGGCTCCGATGGTCCTCCTTCGCGGCTGGGGTTCCTTCTTGGCTAACCTGCACAAAAAAGACAGTAAACAAAATGATTAAAAAATTGCATGAAATGGGAAGCAAGAAGGGGCTCAACAGAGGGATTTTAGGGTTTCCGCAGTCGCGGCTCTACCGGGTTTTGCCCGCAGTTTTCAGTTTACCCACTGTCCCTCTTACTTCGATTTAGCCACAGGGATGCTTATAATTGAATTTCGAGTGGATAGGGAAAAATTTTACCTTTTTTAGTAGTCAGCGATGGCTCTAGTGCAGCAGGATTTGGCAGTCGGGCTCCTTCTTTGGTGTCTGGTTCTTCTTCTCTGGCGGGGCTGGTGGCTAGGGTTTGGGTTCTCCTGCGACGTGAGGTATTTATACCCATCCGACATCGATCTAGACCGTTCATCGTGATTGGTCTCATCCGTTCGATCACCCTAAGGAGGAAACAAATTTGGGCTGTTAATCACGATTGATCTCATCTATCCAATTGTGCCTAAAGAGAGAATGAATCTGAGCCGTTCACGACGCGAGATCGAACCTGGACCGTTGTGGACACGCGAATTGCCCGCGTGGCGTCCTGGATGGCACCGACGTTAGTGTATTTTGACACGTGGTGTGCTCCAGTTCGTCGGGGCTGCTGACTGGGTCATTCCACGTGGCCAAATTTTATCTTTTTGTACTTTGACCCCCTATTTCTAATTTTTCTTTCAAAAACACATTCCAAACTCAAAGTTTTACCCATTTTCTCCAAAATTATTTTTAATATCGTCTGTAATTCATTTTTTTCTCAAAATTTCAATTAAATAAAAATAACATAAATTAAACAATTATTTTAATAAAATATTTTAATAAGAAAAAATTATCCTAGGTCACTTTTTTTGGGTTTGGGTATTACAACTCTTCCCTTTTAAAAAATTTGGTCCCTCAAATTGGTCACTCTCTCACTCAATCGAACAGTGGGGGTACTGAGTGCTGAAGCTTGATTCCAATTTCCAAGTGGCATATTCCTATGTATATTTCTGCCATAGGACCTTAATAAAAAGAACTTCTCAATTATATAGTACTCTCTCTTTCGGTCTACAATGCCTATCGGCACCTCTTTATAGGATCGATCATCCCAAAGTGAAAGGGGCTCGTGAGACAGGATGTGTGAGGGGTCCGATTTGTACTTGCATAGCATGGATACGTGGAATAGATTTTGAACCGTGGATAGCTATGGAGGTAGTTCCAATCTGTAAGTGATCGTACCAATTCGGTCTAAGATCTCAAATGACCCAATGAACCGAGAATTTAATTTTTTCCTCTTGTCAAACCTATTGATCTCCTTGAAATAGGTGACCTTAAGAAGTACTGAATCACCTTTTTCAAATTATAAGTCCCTCCTATGGGTGTCTGTATAACTCTTTTGTCTACTCTGAGCTGTCTGGATGTTCTTCATGATCTTAACTACTTTGGTTGTAATCTCCTCCACAAGATCTAGCCAAATAATTTTCTATCACCCACCTTTTCCTAACAGATCGGTGACTTACAGGGGCGACAATACAATGTCTCGTACGACGTTATGCCGATACTTGTTTAGTAACTATTATTGTAGACGAACTCTATCAAAGGTAGATGATCATTCCATGGCCCTCAAGTCTAGAACACAAAGTTGGAGTATATCTCCAATGTGCGAATCATCCTCTCTGATGTCTATCGGTTGAGGTGAATGC